GTCATTAGTTTACCTGCAGTTTGAAAGTCGACCAGTCATATTAGTTTTGTTACTAAGCTTCCTTAAAAATTAAAAAGAAAACGATATCGTGTTATAAAGACATGCGACGAAGCGTAAAGCATTTACGTTTTGATTCTAGCCTAAGCTCGTGGTCACGTAAGCCCAAAATTGCACGGATGGGGGAGTTTTATTATAAAAGTATAAATACACAAATATGAAGCCCTTCTGAGGTGAGTTACATTATTCGTCTAGAATGGTCCTGACAAACGTAACATGAAAAATGTAACTGACACAGCTGTAGGATTAACAGAACGTCCAACGAATACGTGCCTTCTGAACAGATGAAGAATTTACAGCACAACGAAGATGTATAAGGGGCCAAAATCAAGCCATGAACACAAGAAGATGCCAATTGAGGACGTCAAAGTACACCACCGCTGTGAAAACCTCAAGTCTTACACCAAGACTGCAGAAATCCGTCAAATTTAACTTTGTCTTAAAACTGTAACGTTCAGCTTCTTGGGTGGTCAATGCTCTAACTAACAAACAATACAGATAATAACCACGTCGTCGCATTGTATTAATTTTCATCGTCATGAAGACCTCAAATCTCTTACGTTGATAATTAGAAATTATCAGCAGAAATGAAAATAATAAAATATCGCGGTAGGGACGGGCCTATTACTGAATTCAGCAGCCGGCAACATTCGGAAACACGGAAGCTATAACCAATATAAGCAGAAAGTAGCTCCGTCAAGACTTCTCTCTCTTAATCGGCTTCATTAATCCGGTTTGTGAGTAAGAAACACAATCAAAGTCTGAAAGTAACGAAGATGCATTTTTAGAGACCACTGCAGAGATTTACACATTCGGACCAAAGATTCGTGTAGGTCTACGAGGAAAAGATTGAAAGCTCAAAATATACCGAAAGACATTCCTGATTAAGAATAAAATAAAAAGGTAGAAAGAGTTCATAAAAATAAATGACCAAACTTGGCACTGGACTATAAACCCACCGGCAAAAGAAACAGAGACTGACGCAGAAGGAGATGGTAAGGCTAATTATTGGTTGAAAGTTAATGGAACAGGCTTTTTAAGTCGAAGAACAAGAACTTGAGTTACGTCTTCGTGGATATAATGTTGATACGAATCTCTAGAGCGCACGCGTAAGATTAGAAACTGATACAAAATTTTAGTCAGTAAACTTAAGAAGGCTTAGGAACAGATGTGAAGATAATATTAAAACGTGTATAATGATCATATTTGAGTAAGATGGGTTCGAATGAAAAAAAAAGTTAACGCTGATACCGGCCTGTACAGCAATCGATTAATGGACTGAATTTTTATGAAGTCGTCACGTGTATTGAGACCACAAAATTTTCCATTTATTTTCTCCCGTCTGCATAAACCATAGTTTAAATTGCCCATAGGGAACTCATGAAAGCAATAAATATATGAGGAACATAATGTTTATTACGAAGTAATGGCGAAATCTGTTAATAACAGTTTTTGAGGCCGTGAAGAACGCCCGTTGCTGCCAGCGTTCTCCCCCTTCAGACCTTCAAGCATGGTGGTTACGTGCGTTGTTATGGCAACACCATGCCCGGCCATGCTGTAAGGTCCCGCTGATCGAGTCTCGGGGCTGGATTTGAAGTGTTGTATCTTTTACTAGCCACTTCGCGGATTTCTTCTGTCGACTTGGCACAGGAATTCGGGTATTACAAGCGATGGATAAATGAACTAAGACTTTACTCACTAGAAGTCACGGCTTTATAATGGACGACTACGGAAACCGATTCAAATTCTGGTAAAACAAATATGAAGGCATTCCATGCCTTCATATTTGCAGCTTCCGAATGAAAGCGAGAAATGTATTGACTGAAGCCGGCGGGCTGTTATGAACACGGTAATTCCATGATGGGCGAGAAATTTATTAACCAGCCGAGAGACGATCAGCTACTGGAAACGGACTAGGACTGCTCCATTCCGTTCATCACTGCATCATCTACAATCCGTCCAATGTGGTTAGGTTAGGTTAATAAAACTCTCAATTAGGCCGATATAAGTACAGTAAAGCTGTCCCACTATGCGCCATGTAAGCACTTGGGAGGAGAGACGGTATAGCTCCTACTCATTCTTGGCCTCGGCACTAGATGGGGGTGAGTGGTCAGCATAACGCCCCGGTTAGACCGATATAACGTACGATTTATGAAAAGATCTCGATTATAACATTTATGGCGAAATCAAAGGATCTGATGTTTTCGCGGCGGTGAGTCTGAGGATGGCTGTCTTCTGGGTTGTAGCGGCGTGTAGTCTGGTAGAAGTTTAGCAACGTTTCAGAGGTCCCAGAAGACAGCCATCTTCGATGGAAGGCAAAGTTAGCTCACGGTGAAACAAACAACTCCAGCAGCTTGCACGATTTGATCCGAATGTCGTGCCGAACGAAATTAATAGTATGGAGGCCGCTGCTTAAAGATCTGCATTATTATCACATATTAGAAAACGATAGAAGTGCACGAGAAGAAACATCATGCTGTTTCTTCATGTACTCGTACATAAAAGTCAGATAGAATATATAAGATAGCGGAGTTCCAGAGGTGAAAGTGCATGCAGGATTCTAAATCTGTGGCGAGGAGGAATTCTTCCGGGATTCGAATCGTCACGGACGGCTCCGTATCGTCCGGCCAGTTTTACAATAAACGCTGATCGGCTGTGTCTGTCAGGGGCAGTGGGGTGCGGGGAAAGTGACTTGCGATATCTGGATCTGTTGCTTTGAATTTCAGCTATCGTGAGACCCGATTGACTGCAGTTACAAAGCTCTGCCGGCTAAAAAGGAGAACGCTACGTCAATCAAACCAAAATGCCACGAAAATACTTCTCTGAGTCCTTTGTGAAGTTTGTAGATCCAAAATAAACCCACGGTCGAACCTTCATTTGACCGCATTACGTATTGTCAATTTTGAACGTGGCCAATATATTTAGCCATGAATTTTGAACACAATTAATTCAGCTGTATTTTAACTTTCTTCTAATGAACTAGTACAGTGGCACCCAAAACATCCATCGGAAAATAATGAACACGTGTATAATGTAATGATTTTAAAGGAATTACAATTATTATCCTGGTATTTTTCATTTTAAACCAAGAACAATATTTGTTATAAAGTAACGTGAACATTTATGCTTAAATTCTACAATTACTACATACTGACGAAAAATGTTACACAAATATTAAATGTTAAAATGAAAAACTTGTCGTAGTCTACTCTCCACCAAATATTATCAGGATGATGGGCGGAGTACGTAGCATTTATAGCAAACATAAGAAATGCATACAAGACTAAATTTTCAGAATATTAATCGAAGACATCGCTTGGGGGGGGGGAGGCATAAGCAGAATTATATTAAAATATACGTTAAAGAAACAGGGTTGGATGGTGTAGTCCGCGACAGGGACCAATGGCGGGCTTTTGTGAACAAGCCGATGAAACTTCGGGTTCCACAAATCAGCAAAGCTACTAGCATCTTCTCAAGAATGTTTCTGATCCACGGGGCAATCCAGATCATGCCTTGACTCCACCCTAAATTCATCGGTTCAGTGAGCCACTAATTAAATCACGCGTGCTCAAGAGATTCGAAGAGATAAATGAATGGGTCATCCAGGGTGGATGGAATCGCAGAGCAAACAACATGTCAACCATCAAACCATCACGGACCGCACAGAGAAGTTGCAACAGGAATGATTTCCACGTCAGACAGAATTAAACCTGCATACGTCAAGGCATTATTAATGCAAGCTCACATATATTTCATTCGTACACACCGCTCGAGGCATCTCACGCAAAATACGAGACTTGCACGAAGCGTAGAAGGTTCTGGTACCTGATTCGGAGTTTGAAAGTTATTTATCGGCTGATCTAGTTCTCTGCAGGATTCCGGTATTGTCAGCGAGAAACCTGAGCGGTACTTATGTTCATTATGTCACGACGCACGTCCCGAAATTTATCCGACTCTCTCTCAATAATTTGTATCACTGTATTCATTATTTTACCAACTCTTCCGACCAATGTGTGCGCGCCATGACAGGTAACAGATGTTTTCAATAAAACTTAACAGAATTTTAACTGTGACAACGTATACATGTAAATCAATGATATTTAAAAAGTTGACTATTCGCGAAGAAATGGAAATTAGAGTCACAATGAAGACAGTATAAGAATAAATTGTAGAAATGCTTATTATTTTTTCAATAAATGTTATCATTCCAGCTGTTTTCTGAAGGTGTCAAATGCCGTGTCTTGCTAGTGTCTGAAAAGAAAGTCTTGACGAAACATTCAGACGTAAGAGGGCGAATATCAGTTGAGATTTCAGGTTCCAACGGTCTACCAGACTGCACGACGCAACATCACACAAGACAGTTTTCTTAAGGACGAAGTGGCTATTTGCACGAGTCACATACAAGGTTAGGCTTTTATTGACTGGACAAATGACAAGAGAGGGGGCGAGACAGAAAATACATACAAAATTTTAGCTTAACGAAAAACGCTGATAGATAATGCTGACTTTTATATAGCGTTTTGTTGCAATGTCGGATGAGCACGTAACACATTATAGGATTAATTAATATCCTCTGCCTTGAACTCATGTTGTGAAGGGTTTTGTTGTTACGTAAACTTTGTTTCCGACTGCTGTATCATATCAAATAGGTTAATAAAACGTGGGGGGAAACAAGCTACAAGTCCTCACGAAAGAACCGATTTCGTACTTTTTACATTCAGGTGATAAATTTCGAAGCAGTGAGAATAACAATAAATAAATAAACACTGTCCAGTGTGTGCTGTCATCAGTTTGGGGAGTGCGTTCACTGTTAAAGTTGAACGCTGGCTACAACTTACATGTGTTATAGCAGTTCCTGCCGGGAGCCGGTAAGTGAACGATGCGTTAAACTTTATCAGTGAACGCATGTATAAGACAATTGTGTAAATGTAGTAACTACTCACCTCTGACGATTCATGTGAATTTGGAACTGCGTCGATTTGGTTGTCACGAGAAGGCAAATTCAATGACTTGGGGTCATCCTCCACCAAACAACTGGAAGGAGTACTTTCATTTTGCGATTCCAAGGTCACGACCATCGTCCCACCCTCATTTCGCGAATCTAAGACATCACCAGGGTCATTTTGGCTTGGATGAGACGCGGAACAGACTGAATCGGACACAGTTTCTATGACGGCGCTGTTAGCATTGTCAGAGGCTGGTTCATCGGCGTGTCCTGGTGGTAACACTTCAACAACAGACACGAGGTTGGGCGGCGGCTTCGGGTCAGTCGGAACGTACCACGACGTGCTAGACACGTCCCTGTTGCCACTGCCGCTCCGTCGCCTCGAGACGCGAACCCGAGGCGCCTCCGGTCTTTCGCGTTCAACTGCTGAATCTGTCCTGAGCTCCTGTTCTTCGCCGTGGCCACCACCAGAGTTGCCGAGAGCCGCGTTCTTGCATTTCTTCAGGTAGTTCTTCACTCTTTTTGCTTTGCTGGATTTTCGCGTGCAAGGGTTACCGCCTAAGCCATGTGCAGCATCCGCTGCTAAGGTCACGCTGTCCCCAGATGCCTCGCTTTCTGGTGTCAGACAGGCAGACGCTCCTAGCTGAGAAGGCAGGGTACTACTGCCCTTCTGTTCCCATCTGCCATCGTTGATGTCAATGTGATTCTCAGCGGGATTGACCTGAAACAAAAGGTTAGGTTAGCGCACATGGTTCATAGTTAGAAAATTAATTACTATACATTTGCCAGTATTTTACACAAGGAGACACGTATGACTTAAAAATGTGAACTCAGATACAACTTTGACATTCAAATTTACAGCCAGGTAATCCCCGAAAGATAGAAAGAATTCCTTCGGTCGGACTGCAAGTCTCTGAACACACGTAGAGTATCATTTCTCGACTGACGGTAAACAGGTACATCCAGATTATTGTCAGGAGTAGAGCTTTGCTGACAGCTGCATCCAAATCGTACATCATCTCAGGGACTTCCTGGTACTTTACCAAATGGTGTATAAATTTCGGGTCTTAACAGAAAATTTAAAGAACTGTATTTGAGAATTTAATGAAAGCCGAATCAAACATCGAAGTTCTTCACGGAAGGAAATGTAGCATTTTCGATATATTTATTCCACGTGTCATCAAAAAACAGTGCGCTACATTTCTATGAGAAAAAAAGTATTATTTTCTTCCTAATACGAAGATTAAAATTCTGTTCACTTACTTTTATTAACAACTGTTTTAAGGATGGCACAATATATTAATATTCTAAATATACTGTAGGCATTCCGGACAACATAAACCATGACAGAACCATTCTGATTGAAGCAAATGAATGTAGGACAGTGAAAACATATGAAAGATTTCCGTATCTGTCTTGTGGGGAAGAGCCGACAGGAATAACAAATGCAGCACACAGAAGCAATGCGAAAACTCATACACCATGAAATTAAACAAAATAAAAAGTCAGCTCTATCTTCAATATCCGGGGGTTAATGATTCAATCCAACACACAAAAGGCGTGAGATAGTTGACTGTGGTCACTGGGCCAAACAGAGTCTCTGTTTTCTCTCTCGGCGTGACCACTCGAGCGAAACAATATGGTGGCCGGCTATTAATGTGCTCGAGTACAGTGTTTTTCAACCGGTGTTCCGTAATTGAATGTTCTGTACGCCACCTTCAACTTTTATTGAAACTGAAGCTCCCATATTTTTGAAAGTGAAACTCAGAACTTGTAGAGGAGCCACTTTTAATTCGGCGTCTTCTAAAAATAACAATATTTGTCATCTTCTGTGAGATTATTTGCTTTCGTAAATAAGGGTCACATGCAGTGCAGGCACACACATTCCACAAATCTGAATTAACTTCTGCCGAAATATATTCTTCACTTCCAACTGCACACGAGGGGCACTTGGAAATACGTCTTACGCGAACAAGGAACGAGAAATCAATGCGCTGATGACGACCAACACAGGCACCCGTCGTCATGGCAACAGTCTCATTAAACTAATTCATTCGTTACAAACGTCCGATCATCGTCATTGCAAAGTACCTTCGTGAAATTTTAAGAGGTATAGTTAAACGCGCCTTTGTATTTTAAAGCGAACTCTATTCTGTAAGACTTGAGGTTCTCACAGCGGTGAGTATGAAGATTTCTGTCTTCTGGGTTATTGCGCTGTGTAGTCTGGT